ACTCCCAACGGGTTAATGGGCTCCTGGGACGGGTTTGACGTCCTTACGGGTTTGGGTCCAGCCTGTTCGACTTCCTCATCCAACGGGTTCGACATCCAACGGGTTTGGGTCCAGCGTGTTCGACTTCCAACGGGTTAATGCGCTCCTGGGACGGGTTTGACGTCCAACGGGTTTGACGTCCAACGGGTTTGACCTCCAACGGGTTTGACGTCCAACGGGTTGGGTCCAACGGGTTCGACGTCCAACGGGTTTGACGTCCAACGGGTTTGACGTCCAACGGGTTTGACGTCCAACGGGTTTGACGTCCAACGGGTTTGACGTCCAACGGGTTTGACGTCCAACGGGTTTGACGTCCAACGGGTTGGGTCCAACGGGTTCGACGTCCAACGGGTTGATGGATTCATCCAACGGGTTCGGGTCCAATGGGTTAATGCGCTCCTTGGACGGGTTCGACATCCAACGGGTTTGGGTCCGGCGTGTTCGACTTCCAACGGGTTAATGCGCTCATCCAACGGCTTCGACCTCCAACGGGTTTGACGTCCAACGGGTTTGACGTCCAACGGGTTTGACGTCCAACGGCTTGGGTCCAGCGTGTTCGACTAATGTTTGTTTTTCTGTGTTTAAAATCACTCCAGAATGAACCCTTTCAGTTTTTTTATATATTTTGCTATTTTTATTTACTTTGTTGATCTCATTCTGTACCTGCATATGGTTTTGTGATGACATCCAACCCTGACTGAGACATGGAGTCCAGCTGTGTTGGGTCTGTCAGTGCTTGTACATGCTCCGTATAGTTCCTCCAACATACTGACATTCAGATTGCCGCCAACACATGTAGCCATTGTGGATGAGCGGCTCATGTATTGGTTTGTTCAATTCTGTGGATAATATCAACCGGCCGAGATCATGCGCGATATGATCCCACTGTTGAATTATCTGCTTGATACTCTGTGTGGCTGTATACTCTAACTGATGAGTTGAACCCTTCAAATGCCGTTCAATTTCTGTTGGCCATACTGCATACTTGCATTGACGGCATATGATGATGGGGTATGATTCACACTGAATGAATAATTGATGTTCCATGTTAATGAAGTCAGTGTATTCTTGAGTTGATATATATATATATATATATATATATTCTTTGAAAATGAAGTATAAACACACTTCACTCGACAATGTATATTTTGCTCTAAATTTAAGTTTTGTAATTGCTCCTAAGCAATTGCAGATCAATACTTAAATGTATGACTGTTAATTTCTGTCTGATTGGTAATTTCCGCTGATCCTGGGACCGTTTTGATGAAGGGAATTTGCCTGTGGGGCGGAAATATAATTAATTTAATATTTGAAAACCTCTGCCGACACACTGTATCAACCCTTAATGTA